ATGACAAATGTAACTATTAACTACTTTAACTAATATTAATATGACAAATGTAAAAATTTACTACTTTTTTTACTTTAATGAGAAATGTAGCAATTAAATAAGTAACTAGTTTAACTAATGTTAAATGATAAATGATATGTAACAAGTAACTATTTTTTTCTTTAAAGAGAAATGTAGAGAAATGTAACAATTAACTAATTTAATAGATAAATGATAAGTCTAACAATTAACTACTTTTATAAAATGTATGAATGTGTATAAGTCTATATAGTTGTTGAGGTTTATTCCTTCAACCCTTGGACCCAACACGTAAGCCCAAAGATTTCGAGTGGAGTGAGTGTATGAATATCTAGCCCAACAACTATCAGATGGATCAGGAAACAAAAGAAGTAGCAGGCAATGTAAATAGGTATTATTAACTTCGTAATAACTCCCCTAAGTACAATCTACTTGCTAAAAAAGGCACGTCGGCCGTTCGGCTTACAAGGCAGTTAGAAATGCTGCGAGTAAGAATGCTGAAGCTAGTATGCTAAGAATAGAAAGTTGCCAACCCTTTACAATGAAATAAATGCTTCTATTTATACCCGCCAATGGGCAGGTAGCCATGCTGACGTGGAAGCCTGTGGACCGCTTGTGTCCCAACCACCAAATCTTCAGCATTAAATGCACTTCCCGCCAGAATCTGGGTTTCCCGCCCAATCAGTGGGGACGTTCGTCCACCCGGGAAGTGAGTTGGATCGCCCCAAATGACCCTCAGGAGATACCGACTGTTCGTCTCCTGGCCTTATAGATATTCACCATGTGGGCTGGGTTTCCTCCGATGACCACAGGCTTGCCCCAGAGACGTTCGTCGCCATCCCGTGGCCCTGCTCCTTGTCCCTGCACAGACGTTCGTAGGGATGAGCCGCTGGGCCTGAGCCCCCAACACCAGACGTTCGTCCATCCTCAAGGGACATGGGCCTGTGGGCTGGCCTGGTGTTCTAACTGGACGTGCGTCTGGCAATATGGGTTAGTGGGCCGGGCCTCGGCTTGGGCCCTTAACCCAACACAAGTCCCCCACTTCTGATGTTCTGGGCTCGCGCAGGACATAAGGAAGTAGGAATCCCCTCAAGGTAGACGTTCGCGTCTTGATACTTGTGTTTTCTGCACCCGTTGGAAGCGTACGCTCGTGGTCATGGTGCTTGACAGCTGTCGACGGTTCAGGAAACGAGGTGACGGCTGATGTTGCGGCGGAGCAGTTCCCGAGGAAATGTCATCATTATGCTTTCGCCCCACGCACAGCGCGTGGGTCGGAATACGCTCCTTGCCACGTGTCAGCCCCTCGTTGGTTTCCCCATCGGTGTTTCTCCTATAAATGCCGGGTTTTCCCTCTGAATTAGGGTTCCCAATTTCTGCTCTCTTGCTTTCGACTTTCCGCAGCTCTTCAAGTCTTCTTCCCCGCTTCCGAATTCGGCTAACCCCCTTGTAAGGTAATTTCCCCCCTCTGCTTCTTCTCTTTGTTCTGATTCCTAGCCGAAATGACTTCGATGGAGATTTCGTCAAGCCCTGGCTCCGGTTCATCAGGTTCCTCTTCAGGTTCCTCTTCTGACAATGTGAATGCGCGCTCCCTGGGAAAAGCTAGCGTTTCCGGAACTTCGGGTTCGGCCACGACGGTGGGAACCATCCGGGCTGATGGTGACCCGGATGGCGCTTCCCAAGGTAGTGGGAGCGGCGCCAGTGATGGGGATGCTGACGGGGCAGTAGATGTCATTGACGCAGTCCCCCTGAACGAGCGTCCCGCTGATTACGATTCTGGAGAGGAGGCCGAATCCGGTTCTGATATGGAGGTGTATGATTTGGGCATCCCTACGGATATGGAGCGCCACATCTGCCCGATCAGGAGCGCCCTTGACCACGACCAAGTCCTCTCCCGCGTGGCCCTCAACAAAATCCGTACTTTCTTCCCCCCGCCGTTCGTCTAGAGCATGAGAGGCGCTGAGCATGTGATGAGGAGACGTCCGGGGATGATCATGCTTCACCTGGATTCCGTTGAAGCTGGGCTGCGGTTTCCACTTCATGCGTTCTATGTGGAGTTCTTCCACTGTTTCCAGGTGGCCCCGGCGCAATTCATGCCAAATTCTTATAGGTTCATATCGGCCTTCTTGGTGCGCTGCAAACTTGCGGGAGTCGATGCCACTCTGGAGCTTTTCCACTATTTCTACCGCGTCACTCCCCAGAATGTCGACGGGTATCTGAGCGTGGCCGCACGTCCTGGGAGACGGTTGTTCAAGAGTTACCCTTCGTCCATCCACGACTGGAAGAACCGCTTCTTCTTCCTTCGATACGACGGGCCTCCTCTCCCCCTTCGGTGGAATGGCTATCCCCCAAAGATTGAGTCACCGGAGCCGACCGACGATCTGCTTTTGGACGTGGAGAAGGTGTTGGAGGGCGGCGTCCGTCCCATAGCCGGATATCTGACCTTCGAGGCACTCTCCGGGGCAGGCATAGGTACCGCCCGTGTCCCTGGACTCTTTCCACCCTTCGACGCTCGTCTCGGGGCACCGGCGGTCCTGTCCTTCGAGGTGAGTGTCTTATTGTATTCCCCGCTCGTCTTTTAATCCTTTGTTGTTTCTTGCAGGTTCTCCGCCAGACAGAGACCAGATAAATCACGCTGAGTGTCTGAAAACCAGGAAGGCCAAGGCGGCTGCGGCTAAAGCTGCGATGGCGAAAGCCAAAAACGCCCCCGCCTCGGAGTCCAACTCCTCGGCTTCTGATGCTGCCAGACGGACTGCTGAGGGTGAGCAGCACTTGATCGCCACTATGCTGGCTCAGGGTTCCGGGGCCCCTGCTCTCGAAGCTGCCCTTCCTCCGCCGATCGTCTCCACGAAGGCGGCTCCTCAGAAGGGGGTGGAGAAAGCCCCTGAGAAGAAACAGAAGAGGGGCCGCGAGGCAGTCTCCACTGGGCCCCTGCTTGAAGATGTCGGCTCTCTGTCGTTGAGCCGCCCGGCGGAAGAGCTTTGGAGGGAGATGGCCCTCAAGGCCGGTCTCGAGCTGCCCAGCCGTTCGTCCTCTGAGGCGACCAGCGCTGCCCTGGCAGCCGCTCTTCAGGTAATTCCTCATTGCTAGATCCGAGTACATTTTTTCCCTGACGTTCATCTCCTGACCGTTACTTTCTCTTCTGTCATCCAGTCTGGGCTTCTAGTCCTCCAGGCTGAAGCTGCCAGGGAGGCCGATCTGAAGGAGGCCAAGGCCAAGGCTGATGCGGCCGTTGCTACGGCCCGGGAGGCCGCCCGTCGAGCTGAGGCGGAGGCTGCAGCCAAGGGGAGGGAGATTGCAGCCCTGCAGGCTGAATCCCGCAGCCAGTTGGCCGGTCTTGAGAGAGCTGGTTTCAAGCTTGTTCCGGTGCTCCCTGCCGCCAAGGATGCCACTCCGGAGTGGTTGGTCGACACCTCCGGCTACAGGAACACCGGGGAATTCATGGATTCCGCCAAGGATTATTGCGCCGGAGCCTTCGGTGATGTGTTCTCTGCGGCGCTGGCGAAGATCCCACCCCGGTGGGATCTATATATATATAAATATATATAACTTGTTTACAAGATAATTTGGGATCTTATATAACTTGTAAATGTATTATAAGTAATATATAATATAATGTTTATAGTATATAATATATAAGTATATTACTATAAGATGAGTAATACACTTATACTTAATACTTTAATATATATATATATATATATAAGTATATATTAACTAAATGTAATATGTAAATATAAGTAAATAACAATAGTATAGATAAAAATTAAATATCAAATAAATATGAATGTGTATAAGTATATATAGTATATATAATGTGTAAATATATTATAAGTAATATATAATATAATGTTTACTGTATATAATATATAAGTATATTACTATAGGATGAGTAATACATTTATACTTAATACTTCAATATATATATATATATATACACACACACACACACACACACACACACACACACACACACACACACACACACACACATAAGTACTCCCTCCGTCCCCTTTTAAATGGGACGGGAGATGGTGGCACGGGTTTTAAGAAAAGTGAGTTTGTGTGGTTTATATTAATTGATAAAGTAAGAATGATTTTGAGCCACACAAAGTTTACCAAATAAGGTATGGGGCAATTAAATAGGGACATCCCAATATGGTAAAACGAGACATTTAAAAGGGGACGGAGGGAGTATATATTAACTAAATGTAAAATGTAAATATAAGTAAATAACAATAGTATGGATAATAACTAAATATAAAGTAAATATGAATGTGTATAACTATATATAGTATATATAATGTGTAAAGAATTATAATATGAAGGTGTATAAGTATATATTTATAAGTAAATAATTAATATATAAGTAGATATAATAACTATATAAATTATATATATGTAGAAAGAATTTGGAGAAGATGAAGAATGAAGATGATTGAATATGAGAGATTGAGAGAATAGAGAATTAGAGAGTAGGAAGAGTTGTAAAAGAAGAGGTGTAAAAAATGTATAGAAAATAGGAGTATAAATAGGTTTTTTTGTATACCCCACCCCCACCCCTAACCCCCCAGACCCCCCCCCCCCCCTCCTATGCTCCCAACAGCTATAGAGCCATTTGGGACACTCCCAACGGCTATTACAGCCTTTAACAATTAAAAAAAATTAAAAAAAATGTGACCATTGAGGCCCGGGCCGGGCCCGGACCGCTATATCACCGGGCCGGGTGGCCCGAACCGGGCACTAACCGGTTCACCGGGCCGGTCCAGGCCCGCACAGTAGCGGGCCGGTCCAGTTCCGGTCCGGTTCCAGGCCGGTTGGCCCGGCCCGAGTCCATCCCTAGATGGTGCTCCGTTTTATTTTTCTTTGGTAGCCATAGTACTTTATGCCTACAGTTTTTAGAGTAAAGAGGGGAGACAAGAGAACATATTTGCATTGCATTGTACACATGTTTGTGAACAGACAAAACATGTACTGCCGTGGATAAAAGTGTGTACAAGACTTTCTCTAAATTGAAAGACAGTAATAACATGCAGTATATATAATAATCATAATACTACAAGACTTCGCTAGTTTACATTGCACATAGAGAAACCGGTCTCGGATAAGAGAAAGCAGGGAAACAGCAAACGTAAAAGATGAGCAACATATTTTAATGGTCAAGAACTAATGCGGCTTAATGAGATTAATCCCAAACAAGAACCAAATAACAATGAACTACAGCCACATGGTTATGAGCGAAAAGTTTCTACACAAACAAACTAATGCTGAACTTTAAAAATGAAAAATGAAAAAAAAAAACTCAATGGCTCTCCCTCTTACATTCCTCCACCGCTGCTGCGCATCTCTTCAGCTCCATGTGCGAAGTGGCACCGATCACCAAAAGTGCAGGACCCTTTCATGAAGTTGTCACACATTTTTGTCTTGAAGTTATTTGCGGGAGCAGAGCGTGGTCCCCCCTTCATGGACTTGGCAGCATTTGAAGTAACAGATGCAATAAGTTCACGAACCATTTCGCTGGCCTGTTGAATCTGCTCAATGGTACCTTCAAGTTCAATGTTCTTCAAATTGGGATCACCTTCATGTTCTCTTATAGAGAGCTTGGCTCCAGTCATACGGCATATCTGCTTCGAGTTAACACCGCCTTTCCCAATGATGGCTCCCGACAAAGATCCGTCAATGCTGATCTTAGCTGTGGCAGATGACCCAAAGCTGGCTGCTGCTCCTCCGAACCCACCTGATTGATAAGGCTCAGGTCTACCAAACCTAGGGTGTCCCATACCACCGCGAGGGTCTTCATGGTGGGAATGATGAACTGGGGGTGCTGGCCTGCCAAGCTCCCACTCACCGTGTGCGAAGTGGCATTTTTCGCCATATTTGCAACCCTCTGCAGTGTTGTATTTGGTGCATAAACGCGTCTTCACTGCTGTTGGGGGCTGAGTGGTGTCTGGGAAATGCGGAGGTGGCATAGGCATGGGGTTTCTAGCAGGTACTGGGAGCGCAGGGTTGTTGCCAAGCATTTGGGTAACAGCTTTCAGCCCACCAGGAACATAATGCAAAAAGTGGCAGCTCTCTCCAAATTGGCATCCTGTCGTACTACACATTAATAAAGATTGGTGTCAATTGTGATTCATAAAGAGGAACGATAACAAAAAAAAATGAGCTGCATTCATTTCTTCCTGCAAATGAGAATGAAGAGAGCTATAAACATTTTGATAAACAATCAGTACATTATTTGGTCAAGATGGAAACACCATTCAAGATCGATGACCATACTAAGGGCTGGATTATGAGAGTATGCTGCCACCAAATTCAGGAATATATTACTCCCTCCGTCCCAATTTGTTTTGCAAAGTCAACATTTTTTGGTCAACCAATAATAAAAGTCAACCTTCTTTATGCATAATTAATTCAATTTTTAATAAATAAAATTTACATATTCATAAACTACATCAAAATCTCTTCAAGGTTGTAAACTCCAAATTAGAATATAATTAAAAATTGGCATCCTAATTAAGTGAACAAAACACAACTGTTTGACCAAGAAAAGTCAAATTTGCAAATCAATTCGGGACGGAGGTAGTATTAAAAACCTCTCCACATTTTTTACTACATATCCATATCCATGTCGTAAAGTAGTACCCAAAGCAACATCTTTATGGTCACTTCAAGCTCACCATGAGTCAGCACAACAATACAAACAACTCATAGAAGCATTCTCACTGTGACATAAAGATTAGGCTCTCCTACTATTGATCCCATTACCTTGAAGATTTGTGTAACTCCACAGTTTCTAACATAATGTTTTGCCTATATTATTATTCCAATCTCCAATTTTCTTTTATAGATCATCAGATTATTCTACAGCCAGCAGTACAAAAGGAATAAAGATGGATGTACTATGATTTTGTGCACATACAGAATTACTGAAAGCTGGCACAGTGTCAATCTTTCTGAATTTATAAACATGATGATGATTGGCATTGGTCAAGATAAGATGAATGGTTTATTATCCATGAGAAAAAGAACGAGAAAGCAATTAAGTAGCTAAGAAATAACGCCCTTCGGTTCTTTGGAAGATGAAAAGCACATACCAAATGATATGATACCAATAAGGCATGTATCATTGTATGTACTTCAAGGACATCCATCACTGATCACACCCATTGCCTTTTTCAGATCTTCAAATAGTAGAGCTTTAATATTTTGAAATATCAAAATGTCTACTATATCTATCAATGAAAATTGAGGCCAGAAGTTGTAGTTATAAATCCACATGTGTTGCTTAGAGAGGGATTCCTTTCTGCATATAGTTATAAATGAAGCTAAAGGATATACTTAGTGAGGCTTTCCTTTCCATATCATCATCCTACCACTCTTCTCAGAATTGAACAAGAATGAACTAATTCCAAAAAGTAATCCTGACACAATCAGCAATCATTGTCCTAAAAGCAAACCCATAAGATACATTCTCACTGTCCCTTTTGAAGCTTTATCTCTCTATTCTTTCCTTTGCTGTTGATCCAAATATTATATTCTCTTTTCTTTTCAGCAAAAAGATTCTTGGGTTAACCTTGTTTCGCTCTCCAAACAAATTTTAACCAGAAGTCATTCACTTTCTTAAAAACCTCACAAAATCAAAAGGCATGAGAAAAAAGATAGGAGGCAGTACTGCAAAAATCTGTCCAGCGTAAGGACGCATCCTCATCTAGGTAGCCATTATTCACATAATACATGTGCCTAGTCGAATGCCAAATACTTGCCCCTTAACAGTTCTCCTGAAGTCTTAAATGGGCATAAACAGAAATATGTAATAGGTAGTACCTGAATCCATCTCTCAGTAAACTGTGGCATGTACCTTCAATATGCCCAAAACACAGTCCAAATAAATTCCTCTATTACACTTCATGTCCTGTAATGTGAGGGAAAGGCAAAGCTCAATACCCATGCCATATTTTACTATATATAGTGATAGAAAGAGGGAAACTTCTGCAGCTTATGTCATCCATATGCAAGAAAAAAACCCAAGAAACACTAGTCATCTCATTTCAGAATCCATTTGTCATTTGTTCTATGCCCACCTTTAATCTGTTTCAATGTAAATTCCATTTTCAACTGCTACAAATACTTGATTCTCCAATTATAAAACTCTTTCATCCTGAGCTTTATGTCAAATTTTGCACTTCAATTTGAGTTCCATTTGGTAAGGGACCACCTTCACCAAATACTTCGACATTATTTGGTTGCATATGTTCTTCTACATCAGAGCACAGCAACTAAAACATAGGCAGAACGTGATCCATCCCATTTTAAAAAAAATGATATTTACATCCATTTTAAGATCTGTCCCTTTTAATTGAAGCTAGCTTGATCTAGAACATTAACATGTCTGAGAAGTTGATTCTGCATCCATAACGATACTTTCATAACTTGACGGAAAAAGCACTCTTATTTTGTATCATCATGTATCCATCTCTTAAAAAACCTAAGAGCTCACATCTTTTTTATCTGCCAAACATCTCAAACTTCTCAATTGGAACTGTCTTGCTTTAATTGGGACTGCTGATAGCAAATTCACATCATCTATCGCCCCAATATGCTCAAAACAGAAAGTTACTACACACATGTGTCAATATCAGCTTAGGTGATGCATACGATATCAAATTCTCGCTACCCATAGGATCAGCAGAGCTGGTAGATCTTAATTCAATCCCACAACTAACTGATACCAACGATTCTAGAACTCTGGTGATAGTGTAAGCTAATTAGGGTACTAGTTTCTAATTGAATTACTTAGCCACACCACATGATCCACGCTATACACTTGATACCGGAAAAACTAACAGGAATAAACAGTTCACTAGGCATCATGCAATCCAGCTTCCTCTTTCTTAACCACTCTTTTTGCCAACATTTTCTCTAATGTCTACCTCAAATTTATGAATAAACCAGCTACACAAATTCTGCATATTGGCAAAAGTGTTTCTATAAACCAATCTGGATTTCAGTGACGCTTTGAGGTATACATTAAGCTCAGCAATTGTATAATTAATTCATGATGTGTTGTAGACAAAACAAATGGTGTTCAAGGGAGTAGTGTCTAAATAAATTCTTGCAGTGTTCAAACACTTTTAATTGATGCAAGTCTTAACAAGAGGACACATGCTAAACACTGTAATATTGTACAGGGAAATTAGTTTGAATACTTGTATAGAAGAGGCAAATGGGATCATGTCAAGTTTTTTAGCTTTGAAGGGAAATGCAGAGATTAATGATACCACCAGCGGAACAAATTGCAAATCTTGACTTCGAATTTATGAGGTATTAATAAGAAGACCTGTCTCGCCGATATTATTTGCCAATTACATGGCCAAAATTGCCCCAAACTTAACTTCCAACAGTGTAAGTGATGTATATTTCTTATACTTCCTTAAGTGAAGGCAAATGGAGCATTCAGCTCATTGAACAGCTCTTGAATTATACCCGTGCTAGTAATTAGTTCAACTTTAGACACAACATCAGCCCACTTTTCAAGTTTCAACAGTCTTTAATCAAACGACAAGTATGCCTGTTTCACAGCTTTACTTGACCAACTCATTAGAAAAAAACATATATACGAAGTGTTAAGTTGAATTACCTACATACAGCATTCTTCTTCAATAAATACATAAACATTAGCAATGTATGAATTTGGACTTAAAGCATCCATTTTAGATAGGTTAAGATTAGAACCTGAAAAACTTTGTGCAAGGCTTTGATTTGGTCCCTACACCACTTGGAAAGTTGTCCGAGTCTGTTGCAGAAAATTAACCATTTTTCAGTCAATCTTTTAGTGAAGGGGCACTTTTGAAATTGGATATAAAATAGATTCACATTTCACAGAATTGTTTCTCTCAATTTGTGTAGAATTATTTTCGTTCTTGCTATTACTAATTAAAATAATCAATTATTAATAATGAAGTATATTATAGACTGTTTTAAAAGCGATGACTTTTTAGTGAGATCTAGTAAAAGAAGACAACATAGACTAGTAAAAGAAAACAAGATCAAATTATAATGATCGAAAAATTGCTTCATACATCAGAAAAGATTTGTCAATGTCCAGATTTGTAATCACAAAGAGAAACTGCGCCCAGTAAGGCTAAATAGTTATGAAAGACGGTTAAGGGTAGAAATACAGAAAAAAGCAGACCTTGCTTGGATTTCTTGTAGCCGTTGCCGTTAAAGCTGGCGTCAGATCTTCCCCTCTTCCGGGCTCCTCCAAATTCCATTGATAGAGTAAAAAGGTTGGTAAAGATTCTGGAGAAGGGGACTTAAAGGCGGCGACTGAAAGATAGTGGGGGATTCGTAGCGAAGTGTATCGGAACCCTAAATTCGGAAGTGAACATTAGCGTTGTGAGGGATGTATATATAGATAGTACTGACAAAATATTCCTTCCGGTCACAAAAGTCCAATTTTACATTTTTACTCTCAACAAATTAACAGCTCCTTTGATAACACACATACCGGTAAAAGGCAGTTTAGTTGAACTTAATGCACAAGGCTAAAAAGACAAAGAGACTGAAAACAATCGCTAACTCTCGAACCAGACTCAGAGTTAATCACTTCAAAAGAAGCAAAATAACTCGTTGATCCATTTATGGGCACAACTAAGCCAAAGACGAAAAATACAAACCTCTTGTCATCCAAATCCAAGCTCAAAGTCTTACAATGCAGATAAAAAACAAACTGATAAAAAACAAAGTACTCAGTCTCAAAGAAAATAATAATAACAATAAAATAAAATCTTTGATGCAACTTCCAAAGCACTAGGCCGAGACAACATCTTGAACCCATCTCCCAAATATACTTCGGCGACGGTTCATGAGGAGGACGGGCCAACAGTACTGTAGCTTCTTCCTCACTCTGCCTCTTATTCGTCATGATCTTTGTCAAGCCTCCAGTTTCATCACCAATCACAGATGACCTAGAATCCAAATCCGTTCCAGCTTTAAATTCCAAGCTTCGCCCATGACCTTCACTCGATGGTTTCATCCTTTCACTATTGTTGTCTCTGTTTCTTGTCCAAATCAAGAAACTCGTCGCAGGGGAATATCCCAAATCGAAGAGCCACCCAATCTATCAGATCTGCGGAAGAACTAGAAACCTAACTAGAGGGACAAACAACCGCTTCAATTAAAAATTAGTAAATCATAAAGTTTGAATTCTGAACGTACTTCACTGGCGCCTGAAGAGTATTTGGACAGAGCGGAGAAAATCAACCCGTGTGCAATTGAGGCTCCAGGCAGTCCTAGAAACGGCGGCGGCTTAGCTCCTCCATAGACTTGTTAGGGTTTTTCAAGATGCGTTGCTCCGCACATAATGACGCGAAAGTAATTTTGACTACGACGACTTAATCATCCAATTATCAAATCATGTTTACTAACGATTTAATTGGAAACATGACTTAATCATTCAGTCAAAAAAATTTACTTAATCATTAAACCAAAGAATAGCAATATTTGCCATTAAGACGCCTATTGATACGTTTTATCTGTCAATTTTTTCAATTTGATTGTGTAATAGATTTATATTAATAAATGAAGTTTTCCATTAATATTGTAATCTAGGAATAATACTAAATTAATTATTTTACTTGATTCAAATTGTATTTTATAAAGTTCTAGTTAAAATGATTATATTGAGTAATTTTGTTAAATTATGGAAAAAATATCTAAAATATGTTTTATTAATAAAATAAAATAAAATAAAATAAAATAAAGAAAAGTATATGTATGTGTTGGGTTAAGGGCCCAAGCCGAGGCCCGGCCCACTAACCCATTTCGGCCAGACGAACGTCCAGTTAGCACACTAGGCCAGCCCACAGGCCCATGTTCCTTGAGGATGGACGAACGTCTGGTGTTGGGGGACTCAGGCCCAGCAGCTCATCCCGACGAACGTCTATGCAGGGACAAGGAGCAGAACCACGGGCCACCAGGGAATGGCGACGAACGTCCCCAGGGCAAGCCTGTAGTCATCGGAGAAAAAACCCAGTCCGCATAGTGAGTATCTATCAAGGCCAGGAGACGAACAGCCGATGTCTCTCAAGGGTCACTTGGGGCAATCCAACTCACTTCCCGGGTGGACGAACGTCCCCACTGATCCGGCGGGAAACCTAGATTCTGGCGGGAAGTGCATTTAATGCTAAAGATTTGGTAGTTGGGACACCAGCGGTCCACAGGCTGCCACGTCAGTACAGCCACCTGCCCATTGGCGGGTATAAATAGAAGCATTTATTTCATTGTAAAGGGTTGGCAACTTTCTATTCTTAGCATACTAGCTTCAGCATTCTTACTCGCAGCATCTCTAACTGCCTTGTAAGACGAACGGCCGACGTGCCTTTTTTAGCAAGTAGATTGTACTTAGGGGAGTTATTACGAAGTTAATAATACCTATTTACATTGCCTGCTATTACTTTTGTTTCCTGATCCATCTAATAGTTGTTGGGCTAGATAATCATACACTCACTCCACTCGAAACCTTTGGGCTTACGTGTTGGGTCCACGGGTTGAAGGAATAAACCTCAACACTGGCGCCGTCTGTGGGAAACTGAGCAAAAAGTTTCCAGAAACTCTCCCAATCAGCTACTAAGTCTACCTACAGCAAATACGATGTCAGGAAGCAACAACCAGCGTGATCTCTCCGAGCGTCTGGAATCGAGCCGCCGGAATCGCGGCCAGAACTCGGAACTATCCGCTACTATATGGACCTCCGGAGGAAACGGGGGCATCACTGACCTCATTCCCCTGGAGGCCAGGCAGGATCCCCACCTCATGCGGGAACTCGCAGATACCATGCGCCGCTTGGCAGATGAGCGGGAGGCCCGAGATCGGGTGTACTCTGCAAGCACCCAGCGAACGCCCCTCTCTCCCATACGCCGCATGCAGTCGTATGATGATACGACGGGATCCAGCGACCACCGGCCCTCCGTCCACGAGCGGCTAGGTGGGGGTTCAGGCTCCCGTGAGACGGGAGGGCGGACCAGGATTAGCATCGCTGCATCCAGGGCTCTCACACCATCAGTTCCTCGCCAGATCCCGCGGGGAGACGAGACCCCAAGGGTCAACACCGTTGGACGACGTTTCCAACGGCGAGGTGCGCAGATCTTCAGGCGGCCGCACGATGTTGTGGCCGCTCAGCAGAACGCCACCCCCGAAGCCGCGCCCCCTGTGTCCCCCGGAAGGGCCGCACAGGACGCACGGCTGGAAGCCATGGAGAGGCAGATAGCCGAGATGAATAGGCGGGCGGACGTCGGCTCGGCCACACCCTCCTTCTCTCTCACATCACCTTTTACTCCACGGGTGATGAGCGTCGAGATTCCCCGGGATTGCAGACCCCCGGGGAACTTGGTGTATAATGGGGCTGGTGATCCTAAGGCCCATCTGATAAGCTACCAAGGGAACCTGTCCATGCTGGGAGCATCGGACGAGGCCATCTGCAGATTGTTCTTCAGCACCCTCAGGGGACCAGCTCAGGAATGGTTCGGCCAGTTGAGGCCAAGCACCATTGATTCATACGAACAGCTTTCCCGGCAGTTCATGGCACAGTTTGCTGCCAGTACTACCCCCAGGAAGGACGTCGCGGCTCTCGCCCACATCAAACAAGGGCGGGACGAACCGCTGGCTAGGTTCCTGGTAAGGTGGAGGGACGAGGTCCTGCAGGTTGACGATCTGGACGAACGTCTGGCCACCAACATGTTCACCAGTGCACTGGCCACAGGGGATCTGTACCGGGACCTGAGGAGGAATCCCGGCACCAGCTACGCCGAGGTTTTGGCTCGGGCACAAAAATATGCCTCCATTGAGGAGGAGATCAGGCAGCGGGACGAAGTTCCCGCAGCCCAGTCTAGGAAGATGGCGGACAGGCTCGGACCTAAACCGGGACCCGGGCCCTCACCCCCAAACAAAAAGAAGAGGACGAACGAAGCACCAGGGAATCTCGATGCAGATGAACCTGTTCCTCCTTGTGATGTCTGCGGATACCGAACGTCTCCTCGAAGTAGGGACGCCGGTAGGACCAAGGACCAAGGACGAACGAAGCACCAGGGAATCTCGATGCAGATACACCTGTTCCTCCTTGTGATGTCTGCGGATACCGAACGTCTCCTCGAAGTAGGGACGCCGGTAGGGCCAAGGACCAAGGACGAACGAAGCACCAGGGAATTTCGATGCAGATACACCTGTTCCTCCTTGTGATGTCTACGGATACCGAACGTCTCCTCGAAGTAGGGACGCCGGTAGGACCAAGGACCAAGGACGAACGAAGATTACCTCCCTTAAAAAAAAAAAAAAAAAATGGGGAGAAGAGGAGAGAAGCTCCTACACGGAAGGGAATCTTGCCCGGGTGTGCCAGATCTTCCCCCACCGCCGAAGGCGAACGCCTCTCGATGTAGAGGTTAGTAGAGACGTGGAGGGGGCTAGACGAACCAAGGGAGCCTGCCAAGATAAACCTGTTTATCCCACAAATGACCATGGATCGATGGACGTGGGATAACGAAGACGGGAACCCGCGAGGGTAAACCTGTTCGTCCCTGCGAGTCCCTTGGGTACCGAACGTTCTCTTCGAAGCAAGAGACGCCGGTAAGACTAAAAGGGCCACGGACGAACGAAGAAGGGGGGAATCTCGATGTAGATAAACCTGTTCCTCCTTGCGATGTCTGCGGATACCGAACGTCTCCTCGAAGTAGGGACGCCGGTAGGACCAAGGGCCAAGGACGAACGAAGACCAAAAGACTCCAAAAAAAAAAAAAAAAAAAAAAAGAAGATGCCAGACGAGCATGGAGCAAAGAATGATTTTTATTCCTCGGCACTATTGGCCGGAAAATTACAATGTATGAGGATACAGTACAGAAAATGAAAAATTGTATAAGTACAAGATAATGAACGGAGAACCACGGCCGATCATGCCAGACGAGCATGGAGCAAAGAATGATTTTTATTCCTCGGCACTATTGGCCGGAAAATTACAATGTATGAGGATACAGTACAGAAAAAGAAAAATTGTATAAGTACAAGATAATGAACGGAGAACCACGGCCGATCGACGTCCGGAGCTGGAGCTTAGGAAGGGGCCTGCTTGGACTTGTCACTCTTAGCGGCTTCCTCCTGCTCCTTCAGTAGCTCAAGGGCCCCTGCATGAGCATCTGCCATCAAAACATCGAAGCCAGCCGCCTCCGGGTCGAAGGGAGCCCCAAAGTGACGCTCGAACGTCGGGAGATTCTCCGCTACTAACCCAACCATACCTTTGCGGTAGGTGTCATCGGCGAGATCGTCAAGGAAACGACGTCCGGTGGGGGTGGCCTGGAGCAGTTTAACCCCATCCTGGTAAGCATCCGGGCAGGTGGCCAGGAACTCGCCAACGAGCCGCGGGAGGAACTTCATGGCCATAGTGTGGATGGCGCCAGTATAAGCCTTGGATTTCTGAAAGG